TCTACTCCTCACCACACCCCTACACTCCTCACCACACCCCTACCCACCTCACTCCATTCCAGTCTACTCTACTCCACACCACACCTACCCATCCCACACCACATCACACCACATCACACCACATCACACCACACCACACCACATCACATCACACCACACAAGTCATCCCATAGTACACCACACCTCTTTATTCTACACCGCTCAACACCAAATACACCAGATCACAACACACCAGATAACTCCACACCACCACAAYCCTACACACTATACAACACAGTATTTCAACAATCCTTGTCCCTACTAATACTGTTCGTGGTTCATGATTGTTTTAGGTGAAGAATGCGTACGTGAATTTTCTCAACCACTGTTACGTGGACACAGAAGTCGAGATGAAAGAAATATACACCAGCAACCATATATGGACGTTATTCGAAGACTTTCTCGTCGACATGGCAAGGGTAAGACTCGCCTCCATCGCCGTTGTTCTAGTGTCGTCACGCAAAGCCCCACAAACGGGTTAGTGCGTGGCGTGACGACACTTGGAATGGCTGCAAGGAGGCAAGGGTAAGACCCCATCTTTTAAAAAGTCTATCAAATTTTATTAAAACCCTGAAAAAACCTCTAGGATTTATTAGGTACCATCTAGACCTCGCACACTACTATGAGTTTCAGTAACTCAGTGGTTGGAATGTCATGGGTTCGAATCTCGCCTGGGCTGATCAAAGTCAGGGCACGGCTTGTTCACAGATGGAATTGGAATTTAGCAACGAAAACCAGAGAACCCGGAGGAAACCCTCGAGTCAAGGGAGAGTTATAAGAAATTGCGCAATACTTAACAATTATTCTGCTACGCGTCATGCTTCTTTTACCACCTCTCGTGTTCTGCCAATTCTCGCCGGCTTTATAACGGAAAACAGCACGCGCGCGCGTTCTCTATTTTTTTTCATTAAAACTTTATCGTCCACAACACAGGTATCCCGAGTAAATTAAATATATTTTAATCTTTTGTGTTCTCTGATTGATTATTCAGGTGTGCAATACTGTGGACAGGTTCCATGTAGACCTCATGTTAGAGAAATACGTCACAGAGACCATCATGAACCTTATTACTTTCTTCTTCAACTCGCCTTTCTCTGACACAAGCACTACTATCAAGGTACTATATGTTCGGCGCGGACACAGTGACTCCAAGGTCACAACACTGCAAGTCCAATGACATTGCGAGAGAAAAAAAATCAGGCAATCAAATTTTTAGAAAACATCACGATACCGTACCGTGAGCGGTAGCGACTTTTCACAGCCGTACTACATTTACTTTCTACACATAGCTAAAGCATTCGGTAATACAGAATTTCAAATAATGCGAAATCTTGAATTTGCTGAATAAAAAAATTCTACTGTTCCGAACCTTTAAGCGATAAAAAGAACATAGAATTTTGAAGGCATTTTACCGTCTAGTTTTTGAGTTATTTCAAAAAAACGATAACGCGTGCGAACGTGCGAACGATATTTTCATGACGTTATCAAAATAAAAATTCTTCAAGTTCTGGTTCTGCGCATGCTCGTGCACAACCTCACGCGCGCGCGTACAAAAACTATATGGAGCCACCTTAAAGCAATCTTTTTGATGTTTTCTCTTATCCTTTTCTCCAGTCCCGCCAACCAGTGTTCGTCAAGTTGCTTCGTAGTGCATTCCGCGTGTCACAGTGTTCATGGTTATCAGGCTCACAGAAATACCAAGTCGAAGCTTGCATCAAGGCTCTCTCTGACATAGGTAACTATACCAACGAAGATGGCGGGAAGTGTCCATCCACTTGACCTATCTATGCTATCAATCCGTACTTGAAAACTGAAACAAGCTCAAATATACAAGCCCTGCTTTTCAAGGTTTTGATGACTGTGGTATTGCTTGATGCACTTCAGGTTTAGCTCTGATGCTCAAAAACTTTTTGGGCTCGAAAACGAACAGTTAGTAGTTCTCATTTAGAAGTCAACCTTGCGGCATCGCATTGACTCAACGTGCTTCTATCCACTCGTACCATAATACAAATATTGATAGTTAACTGTTATTTAGACCCAGTGGTAATATAGAAGGAGTTCCCACTTGGTTCCCCATCACGGTACACTAGAGTATAATATCTTACTGGACACTAACACAGCTAATATTGATAGTTAACTGTTATCTAGACCCAGTGGTAATATAGAAGGTGTTCCCACTTGGTTCCCCATCACGGTACACTAGAGTACAATATCTTTCTGGACACTAACACAGCTAATATTAAGCACCTACGAAAATTATCAGTGTCAGGCATTGCGGTTAGTATCTTGTACTCTGACACCAGGGACGTAGGCAGGGGGATGAAGGGAGCCAGCCCCCCCTTTCGTTGGAACAAAATGACGGCTTTTTAGGATTTACACGGTAATTTTCAGTGTTCATTTTTGTTAAAAAAACGTAAAACGTAATGCCGTGTTTTTCATGGTCTTTTTTTGGTTAGGCTTTTTGGGGTGCTTAAATAAAATAACGGGTTTTGTAATTTGGGCTTCTTTATTCATAAAATCCAGGCTACTCCCCTGCTGACACCGTCCTCCATAATTGTGGAGGAAATGCTCTATAATGGCCGTCCAAATCAATACAACTGTAGTTTTATCGTTTCACAGCCAAGAATCGTGGTATTGCCATACCCGGTGACCTAGAGACACAGATCCTGGCTCTGTTTACTCGTTCACAGCTGGTGATGAAGCACACACGACATTGGTTGAGCCATGGCAAAGTGAGGCGGGAATCTACCATGCACCTGTCACGTGATTACAGAAGTATTATAGAGGGATTACAGGTAAGAAGACGGGATGAATTTAGGGAATCAAGGGTAGCGTAGTGGTAGTGCATTTGCCTCACATGTGAGTAGAGTTTGTTAGGATTCGAGGTTTTTTTCGAGGTTCTCTGGTTTTCCTTCCTTTGCAAAACCTAACACTAAATCCCAATTCCATCTGTGAGTTATCCATGCCCTGACTTTCATCAACCCAGAGGTTGTTTCAGGGTTCAATCTGTGGGTTAGCCATGCACTAACTTAGATCAGCCCAGAGGTTGTTTCAGGGTTC